ATTTAAAGGAAGAGAAGAAATTAAGGCTTTTTATTTTTTAGTTATTTTATGCTTATATTTATATATATATGTATTTATATATGTATATATGTATATATGTATATGAAGAGAGGCAATAAATCAACTTTATTTAATGAAATTCAAATTATTTATTTATCGATTAGTACGTTACTAAAAGTTTATTTATGTTTAGTCTAGCCTCGTTCTCAAACCGCGAATGTGCATCGATTTTATTTCCAGAAGTTTTCCAGAAATGACATTAATATTTTAAGTACGTCGTATGTATTTAATCGCGAATGGCAATATAAGTTGACCGATTACAACTCTGTTTTATGCCCTAATAGAGAATAGATAGTTTTCAAAGACAAATGTTTTTCTTTGAAACGAGAAATGGAAGTCAAACTTCTTGTTATTAAATACGTAGAGCATTAATACTAATGATGCTGAATTACATTAACACACACACACAAGTAAACTTTATGAAAAATAAATTAATATTGTTATATTTTAATGATCTTAATTTATTAAATATAATGAGATTTTTTGTAGCAAAGTGTTTGCTATTGAAAGGAACTTGTTGAAATAAAATAAGTTTACAAAAATACGAAGTAAATATTTGAGCTAAAAATCAAGAATTATATACAAAAAGCATTTAAAACAATATTGCAGCTGAAAATGGAATGGCAATCAAATTTCGCAAAAATAACAATTTGTTACATTGAAAACTTAATTAAAAATAATGTATTTTATATATGTATATGTCTATTATTGCGTTTTTAGATCAACTAGCTATAAGAGATTATTAATTATTTTTTTCGTTCTTCTATTCAAACCAGAGTTGTTGGGTGCTTTAATTAAACGGAATTTTCGAATGTTTTGTTGAACATGGCATAGCTGCTGGGCAGAATTTTATTATAAATGAGATTTGTCTTTTGCAAGAACGTTATGCATATCTACATGTGTATTCATTATTGCCACAGTCGGCGCCGCAATATGCATGAATGTGCACGAGTATACCGAGAGTGTCCCAGGAGTAATGCACATATCATGCTTGGCGCAAAGTGGCGGCCCTATTCGTCACGCTTGCGGTAATTGGAACAGATAATTGGGAAAAGTTTTGGAGATTCATTAGCGAGCAATTGTTGGCGCGATTGAGTATTGACCGTTGAAAATGGGATTACACATCCCTCGAATATTTATTTTAATCGTGTTGCGTGGTTTCCTCCCTCGGACTTGCTTTCGAAAATTTATATCATAATTAGAATTCAGCGACGACTTTAGCCGGTAAATTGATTTATGCGGCTATGCAGAAAATTGAAATTTTCTACAACGATGGCTGCTGCAACGCTTTGATTATTAACTTTAATAGTTTGTTTTATTACGTAGCAAAAATTATATTATCAGTTGTACCATATATATGTTTTGCCTTCGCTTTTTATTTTTTAGTTATTTTATGCTTATATTTATATGCATGTTCTTTTTTTAATTTTCATATTAGTAATTTTTTAAATGAAATACAACAGAATTTTATGTAAGATTATTATATATATATATATAATTTTCTACAACGATGGCTGCTGCAACGCTTTGATTATTAACTTTAATAGTTTGTTTTATTACGTAGCAAAAATTATATTATCAGTTGTACCATATATATGTTTTGCCTTTTTTTATAAGTACATATAGCATGTATATATGTATAGTGTTCTTTTTAAGTAGTAAAGGAAGGCGATAAAGACATTTATTTTCCTAATAGACTTTGTATTTTAAAATTATATTATAAAATCAATAAATAATCCTATTTAAATAGTTCTTATGTCAATAATCTTGGGAGATGTGTTTCTTTAAATATAAAAATTTATATTAAAAAAATATTAATAACTATTTACAATATTGAATGACATAATATTGTAAAAGTGAATTTACGGATTGATTGAAATTAAATTGCAAGCGGCGACATCAACTTGATGTGCGCCAATCGACACATGTTTGTTTCAAATCGCGAACATGTTTCCAATCTAGTAACGTGTCTACAAAAGGGAAATTTTGTTTCTACAGTGATCGATGAAAATTTGTTGGAAGATTTTCGACATTACGGCGACGAACGGAGAATCGAGCGCGGAAAAAAGATGAACTAAAGATGATAGCGTGATAAAAATTAGACGACGCTTTTCGGCGGGAGCAACGAGGAAAATAAGATCACCAAGAACGAACTTCTACCGTCGTTTATCGTGATCTACCACAATCTACCGAGGATTATCACGGGTTACGGATACCGCCGGTGGTACAGTTTAAACTTTGCTCTTCGACAATTTTTCTCTCTATTAACTTCCAAGCGAATTCCGTCGCGAAACTGCTGTAATCTGATTTCCTAGGAATTGCGTAACATCGTTATCTTTAATTTATTAGAACATATGAAAGGCGTAATTACAAAATAAATATCAATTTGCAAGCATATGCACGTATTTAATGATTGGGGCTAATCAAGCATATATATTTTCTTTATTAAAACAATTACCTTACTTTAAATGCACGTTCAGAAAATCTTTTTATTTTAATTATATCTTTTTTGCGTTTTTCTTCAAAGATTTCACTGAGACAAGCGAGCATGCAGTATTTACTTGTATACAATAATCTATTTTCACGCTGAGCTCTCTTTTTCAAACTGTATTTCAATCACCAGAATCTTTTGAAATTGAAAACAATAGAAGAAAATTCTAATCATTATTTTTACAAAAAAAAAACGCATTTGAAATATTTTATCTCAGTCTCAAGTTTTAAAGCTTTCGCTGCACGATTCGTCGAATAAATTCAGAAATTACAGAAATTACGCGACTCTCGTGAGTTTTTCATGCAGTTATATATAATTTTCTACACATATTTTATCTCTTTTTTATTGAAAGTTGCGGAAGTGCAAAATAAATGTTTCATGATTTTAATTTTGCGAATTTCTTTTATTATATATATATATATATATATATATGCTACACATTCTATCATTTACTAAATAATTAAATGTAGAATGCTGAATGAATTATATACAATTAAGCTAATTTTTTATTTGACTGCTTCTGTGAAATTTCTTTAGCGTTTTTGTCTCATCTTCGTTTATATAATTCCAGGGATTGAGATTTGAATTACCTGGTACGTTGATGTTAAAAATATTTTAGTAAATTTTGCAATAATTTACATTGAATCAAACACAAAGCTATTTACTCTCATGACAAAACATTATGGAACGCATGATGCATCAACAAATATATTATACGTGCGTCCTTCCAAGGTAGTATGATGCGTTATTATGTTTTTTCAGTCCTTTGTGTTGCTGGTAACAAAATATAGAATTACACAAACAAGATCGTTAGTTTTATGTGCTTCAAAAAATTGTGAAAGTTGAAAGGCGCTTTTAAGTTAAAGTACTAAATATAATATAGAAGAGCAAAAAGATTCTCTATTTATTAATTTTACAATTTAACAGAATAATATATTAAGTTGTTCATTAATATGCTTGTTGTTTAATATGCTAGCAATGAGAATGTTGAATAATAATTATATTATTTGGACAGTAGTTATAAAAGAGAACAGTTAGAAAATATTTTCTAGTAGAACTAGATTTATTATATTAACTTTATTTTATACCCAAGCATAATTTATTCATATTTATTCACACTAATCTGAAAATTTCTGTTTATTACTAGATTTACTAGTTTGTTGAAGTTTAGAGCGTTTTTGAAGCAAAAATTTAGATGGCTTGAATATATTGCACAGACATCTGCTATTTGCTTCTCAAGCGCATTGATTAATTTTTTGTTTTATTTCATGGGAGCTATTTTTGTTATCAAAAATTTAAAATTTGCTGATACTAAACGGGTTTGCATAAAAATATCTACATATTTATTTAAAAATTATAATGAGGATATAATAAAAAATATAAATTTGATAAATAAACAACAAAAAAATTAAACATTATCAGATCAAAGAATCAGCACATAATATTGATTTTTTATAGAAATTTTGAGATTGCAATAGTTTTTAATTCTTCCCAGTACACTTATTTCTTTTTCTATTATTAATTGATGGATATCATTTGAGCCTTCTAATAATAAAAAGATCTAATTTTTTAGATCTTCTTTTATTTATTTATCTCTGATTTGTATTTTTCATCATAATTTTATTATTTTATATGTATATAAAATTATTTTACAGCATGCTTAATATTATCAAATTGTAAATTTTGTTCTAAAAAGACTTTAAACTTTGACGAAGTGCTCTACCCGCATTTTGTTCATAGCATGAGATTTATGCATGCGTGTGTTAGTAAGTTAAGAAATAGTTGTATTATATAGTTCTCTGCTGTTGAGCTAGGAATGTATAAATATAACGACATGGCAGTATATTCGCCAGAATTACGGAGAGATTGAAGCGCATTCTGACGCGCGTTAACATAACAATAGCAACGTGTTTTGCATACCGGTATGCGTTGGTCCTTTATGGTGCCTATCTGTATAAAGCGTGACGGGTAATCTACAAGGAATGAGAAGCGATATCTTTAAGGAAGATGCATTCCATAGAAAGTGCCGAAGGACATTCGTGAAATTCGAGTCCCTCCTCAAGAGGGACGAGAGCGTTTCCCTTTGGCAGAGGACAGGCACGATTTAACCGAGCGTTGGATTTCGTTTTCACATGAGGGTATATTTCAGTATTAAGTCTCCGAAAACCCACTCGATGTCTATCTCTCCATCTCTCGTAATGGCGTTTTTATGTTAGCATTGGCTAGCTGGACGAACAGAGAAGAATACGAGCGATGTCGTTCGTAAACGATTGATGTACTGGAAAGTGTACTTACCCGACCGCACTATCTATTCGCGTTTATTATATGGTGATAAATGTCGTAATAATAATGTCGTTTCGCGATTTTTCGTTAATTTTACTCTCATTATGTTTGTTCAAAATATTCTATGATACGAGAGATTTGTCTAAATTAAAGATAAGATACTTTCAATTTGGTATATATTTATTTGTTCACACAAGTGACATATAAAATTTTAAACTATTACAAATAACTTTTCAAATTTTTTTATTTGCTCTAAGAAATCTTTGATCTTGTAAAATCATTAGTCATGTGTAACTTTTCGTATTAACGGCAAAATGTCAATTGTGTCATTGCGATCGACAGTATGTGAACGAACAAGGAAGTAACTATCTTCGGAGCAAGCTTTGCGAACGATAACATTGATTTGGGAAACTCGAGACTTTGTTAAACTGATTGTAAGACGAGAAATTCGAAACGAACAAACATTTCGGAATAATTTAGTGTCACGTTACTCTATCTATGTCGTCTCTTTGATGCGTGACAAGCACGGAACATCGATCCGAATTCTGCTCCCATTCCTTACATACTATTTCGTGCGTAAAATGTGTACACGTAACACAAGTTATCTTATACTGATTTATGATCAGGTAGAAAATCGATAACGAGCAGAATGATAAATAGACCGTCAGAAAGAAATTTGTGGAGCAATAATAGTAATATAATAAATCGATAGTCATTCATAATTCGTAAATTATCGTACAAAAATTTTGATTTATCGTGTTATTTATATGATTGTAATATAATTTGTTAATTTAAATAGAGGGAAATCTATTATTCCTTAATTTTGAAAAATTCAGAGGAAAGTATCTGCTTTTCTATCAAAGTGACAGCAAACTGAAAATAATGATTTATTTTTGTTGCGATGTTATTCACGCTATAGTAAAATTTGAGCCAATATTATGTCGTGAATATTTTGACTGAATTTTAGATAGATACAAAAATCTAATTGGCGAGGATCATCTTTATTTTATCTCATTATCCGATAAATGATGAATTAAAATAGAGAGAATTCTATATTGATTCAACCGTGCTTGCTTTAAGAAGAGGTTTCTCTCAAGTTGAGCACTTGAAAAGCACAATATTAGCATTTCCAGATTTATATTCTTTGAATTGTAAAGAGGATGGTTGCAGAAGGGAATAGTGAGTTACGCGTGAGAATGCTTTTACGTTTTAAGCATTTCGTCTTCTCGTCTCTCTTGCTTTATTTTCTTTCAATGCTCTTACATCTTGAAAAAGGAGATTTACGTAGGTAGACATAAATAGCGTTATTAATATTTATAGTATGTCGTGTACTACACCTCGTATGTGATACGCGATGGTTTCTTTTAGGCACTTTTGAACGTATATACATAATAATAAACATCGTTCATATGTACTTAGCCCGTATTCAGCACCATCAATGAGTTATCCAGATTTATCACGCACTATTATTCGCTTTGCCTCGTATCTGTCAAGTAACCGTTACAATTCTTACATTTCGGAAGATCGTCGTACTACCATTGCCAATATTAATTTGCTTGTCAAACAATCACGTTTACAACAAATATATAATCTTTTTTTAAATTTTAAAGTTCTTTTTTAAAAATCGGTTTTGATTTTTAAGAAAATGTTAGCGAGATAAATTTTGAGATTGGTTGACTTCGATATTTTGGAAGCAAGGAGTAACGCAATTTCATCGAGAATCCTAAGCATAGCGTTTATCACAGATATCGGGTGTAACTCTCGGACTATTACGAGATTGATTGTTGACGTGGTTGATCGTCTATGATACATCTGTTATGTATCCGTCGATGGGTTTGGGATATAAGGCGAGGTATTCGCCGCATCGTCGATACTTGAATATTTTTGAATATTTTTGAATTTTTCTTGAAAAATTGTTGCAACTTATTGTAGCAATCCGCTTTTATCGTAACTGACCGATCGGAAGGCATCCTCAACGAGGTCTGTCAAGCATCTTACCGCCTGTAGCAGAGCCGCGAGAAGCAACGATAGCGAGAGCGAAATCAGTTTACTGGGTACTAGAGCGTTTTCCGAGACACTTTGATTTTTCCCCGAAGTTTTCTTTCTCTTTCGCTTATCGCAACCGCTGTTCTTTCCGACGCTGCTGTCTTTATCCTGCATCTTATTGTTAGCCGCAGTTGTTGCCGCGCGCTTTTCTCGCGATCGCGTGTTATCTGGTACTTCCTTGGTTAACTTCGGCGTTGTTCTCTTCTGCCTGTTCAAAATAGATCGTCGCTGTGACGCGAAACTTTCGAGTTTCTTCCGAAAATCCTCCGCTGTCGCTTCAACGGCTTGCAGAAGTTTTTCCTCGTGAGAACCTCTTCTGTCACGTCGTTTCTCTCGGTCTGTTTGTAACGTGCCTTCTGAACGTGCTTTTGCATTAATTGCCAAGGGACGAGTTCCCGTGGCCTCGAGGAAAATATCTTGCAACGAAAATTTCTTGTTCTCCTGCTTGTCACCAAGTTCCGTATTCTGGAAAATTGAATTCTCGTCTAACGAATTTGTCCTGCTATGCCATTTGTCGCGGAAGAGAGATTTCTTCTCGGCGCACGCGCTATTCAGATTGTAATCGATCGTAATCGTAGACTCTTCTTCGGACGAACATAGCCTAATGTTTTCCTTAACTTCGTCCAGAACGATTCTTCTGGGTAAAGTTTTGCCGAGACTATTAGGTATAAAGTTCATCGTCTTTTCCGGACATATCTGGAAATTTTTTGCTTCTTCTCGCAGAACGTTTGATCCATCGTTCCAGTCGACGCGGTGATCATCGATTGATCTCGAGGGATTAGATTCGTCAACGTTGGCTGTATCCGAAGAGTCTTCATTCGAGCCATTTAGCAGAGGCGCGCTTGTATTTCCGTCTTCATCGTCGTTATCTTTGATTGTTATATTTTGCCCTACCCATACTTCTTCCTCTTCGACTTCATCTTCTTCGTCTTCCTCCTCTTCCTCTTCTTCGTCTGAATCGAGAGACATAGATTTGTTCTTGGTGATGGCCGGCACGATGCCATCGGCGTAGAGGAGATCCTGTACTTCGTAAAGACTTCGCTCGATGCTCGGACTCTTGTATAGTAAGTTTCTCAGCTCCGGTATGTCCAGATCCTGAACGTGAAGAAGATTTTGTTCAATATTCAGGAGACTTTCCTCGATCTGTACCAAACATTGTTCGATATCGCAGCTTGTTTCCGAGTTTTGCTCGTTCTTTCCTGGTTGACTCGCATTGTTCATCTCGCATCCTTCCTTGTTCCGTTTTCTCGCGGTTTCGTCCTTGGGATCTTTTGACGTGACTTGAGATTCTTCACGATGATTTTCCGACCACATTTCTGAGGACCAGGGAGGCATCAAAGAAGCTTGATGTTGCGTTTGACTGTCATAGAATACGCGGTAGTTGCTGTGGCTGTTGGCTATCTCGTAATTCATGCCCTCCGTTCTATTATCCCAGGCTAGATTATCGCTTTCTATGTTTTCCCTGTACCCTCGATTTTGCATGTCCGCTGCAAAATCGCCGTTCTTGCCATGGCTGTTCGCCACCGCGTATATTGACGTTACGTCAAGATCACGAGTCGTGTTGAGATTATTTCTGGCGCTCTGGTATCCCGAATACAACTCCGTATACTTACTATGGCTGCTCGAGTCCTGATAGGCATTTCCGTGACTATTCGCGAGCGGATATGTCGCTCCAAAGTCAAGATCAGGCCGGTGTCGTCTCGAATCACTTCTCTTCAATCGTTTATATATCGACCATCTATGTTTATCATGACTACCGGTCTCTTTGTCACAGTCATCGTCATCGTCATCGTCGTCGTCATCGTACTCAATAGCGTCTTCGGGATACGATAATTCTTCACCGTCGATCTCGGGGACTGAAGGACCGAGGTTCCTGTCGTCGATTAGGATATAACCGTCTAGCACATTTTCATCGAGATCGACCCATTTCTTGGAACGATCTTCGACGGCTTTTCGACATCGCTTTTCGAAGCGATTGCCTTCGGGATGTCGTCGTCGTTCGCGTATTGTAGGATCGTGTACGTGTATTTGCACTGGGCAGAGGACGTCGGGATTCCCCTCGGCGTTGTCGCGCAGCTCTGGCGGTGTCGTTGTCACCAACGGCGCCGCTTCGTCCAGCAGATTGTCTCTGGACCCGCGGTACCGATAGCCGGGACAGGGTGTGTCGACCGGTGAATGCGAGAGAAGATTGACATAGTTACCGGCGCCTCTGCCTACGAGCGATCAAGTACTGATCGATGGATTCATCTGATCGTGAATTATAGCGGAGTCTTGACTTTCGTTCAGCGCTTCGTTACTCGATCTTAGACGGTACGCGTTATATATTACCTGTTGCCGAACACGTAGGAAGTAAAAATGAAATTGTCCATGAATGATTCTTGGTGCTTGGTAAAAAAGATAACAAATCAAAATATATCTTATTTCTCCGAGAACGCAAAAAAAAAGAATTTGAATATTTGCTGTGAATCTATATGCATTATTACACAAGTATATCTCTATGCATTATTCAAAATTTTATAATTGGAATTACACAATAATAATGTACAGCTCTTATATAATAATTCATAATAAAAAAATGGATATGCTAATATTTAGTTGTTACTAAAAGAGAAAACAAAAATTTTTACGACACTGCAATACGCGTTTTAATAATTATGAATCAGAACATAATATATAATATCAAGTATTTTTGGAGGAGATTCTTAAAAAATGAACTTCTATACATTATATTCGTCTTCTATCTCCTGTCCTCAAAAGAATTGAGCATTTTTTCTAAAAAGCACATAAAAAATAGCTACTTTATTAAAATGTATTGTTGTGTTAAAAGTTACCTTTGGGGGACTTATCCTAATGTCCCTAAATTCCTCCGTGAACGTCAGAATATAAGCGCAAAACGCCATTGCGCAAAGCCATTCGGTTACCGTACTAGCCACATGCAATTCCCAGCCGCCGTCCTCTTTATACCATTTCCGAGGATTCGTCCCTAGTATAGGATAAAATTTAAATGTTAATATAATAAGATATACGATGTAAAATTGAAAATAAATGAACTAACCCTTATAAGCGAGATGAGCCAGCACGCCTGTGATGAGAATCACGAAGAAGCACACTGTACAGAAGGTCGATAATGCCGTGCGAAGATGCGCGAGTCGTAACGAACACCCTGACGGGTACAAGTAAAATGAACATATGGCCTGTAAAAAAAATTATTGTGACTTATATGCATATTTTTTATGAAAACAAAACTTTATGCATGTTTAACATAAACAAAATAATTCTAAGAATTTTTCGGGAAAGAACAAAATCATCATAAAACTGTTGTAAAATTTTCGTTAATTTTAGATCTTGTCCCGCTTCTTAAATTTATGATTTTATAGATTTAATTTGTATCAACGATTTCTTCGGCGATAATTTTATTTTTATATAGTTACAATAGTTTCATAAATTATAAAGCTGTCATATATTCTCTAAATATCGTCTATTCATGTGTAGTTAAATTAAATCTTGGTATTAATAAGTATTTAATGAAATTTCGCTTTGACATTTGCCATTTTGAACAGTAATTTTTTAACATGTACCTGGGTCCAAAAATACGCGGTACCACCTCCAAAGCAGAGCACTGCACCGATGAGATGAACTACGATTACTGAAGTTTCTTGAAAATTCGCGACAATTGATAAACCGGCGGTTGATGCGAGGCCGAATATTAAGGCCCAATGATTCCACTTCGGCAAGGAAGCTGGTGAACCGTAGGTGCTAGTGCATTCCTTAACTTGGGAATATCTTATGTAGATCATAAAAAACACTGCAATAGAAATAACATAGTTGTATTTTATCGATACATAATATTTATATATATTATGAATGTTTATTAATAATTGTTTTTTATTGTAATAATGTTATCATAAAATTCCTAATTTTTCTCATAATATCATCTTTTTAATACTTGCACATGGTGACTTTCTTGTTTTTGACATAAATAGCGATATAATCAATATTGCACGACTTCTCGAAATGTCTTTCGGCAATATTAGTAGTTGACATGATATAAAATATATGTGCTCATCAAAGGTGCAGTGTCTGATAAAAAGTGCTATATGTTCTACTTACTGAGAATGGCAATCAGATTGACAGTTTGAGAGAAAATGCAACTCTCTGGTGCATAAGTTGCTGCATCGGAGATGTAAGGAAAACCAGCTTCTACATGTCCTAGTAGAACAGCGATTACATATCTGCAAATTGCGGATGTAAAAC